GGGTTTGACCTCAGAGCTGAAGCCAGGGATGAACAGCCTTCTTCTGTGACTCTACAGCCTGACAGCCTGCAGAGCGACAGACAAAAACTCTCAGATGAATAACTCACCACTACCTCACCAATACAAGTATTACTTTTAAGTAAATGTGACTACTTTCAATAATTACAACTAAAGTGTGGAATACCCAGTAATACTGACCTTAGCATTTCCATTTTATAGTGTTGAATACCCAGTAATACTCACCTCAGTATCTCCAGTTAACAGCATGGAATACCCAGTAATACTGACCTCAGTATCCCCAGTTTACAGTGTTGAATACCTGGTAATACTGACCTCAGTATCACCATTTTACAGTGTGGAATACCCGGTAATATTGACCTCAGTATCTCCAGTTTACAGTGTGGAATACCCAGTAATATTAACCTCAGTATCTCCAGTTTACATTGTGGAATATCTGGTAACACTGACCGCAGTATCCCCAGTTTAGTGTGGAATACCCAGTAATACTGACCTCAGTATCCCCAGTATATAGTGTGGAATACCCAGTAATACTGACCTCAGTATCTCCAGTTTACAGTCTGAATCCCCCAGTGCAGCAGAAAGCAGTGTCACTCCTGAATCCTGCACGTCATTGTCACTCAGGTCCAACTCTATCAGGTGTGAGGAGTTTGATCTGAGAGCTGAAGCCAATGTCTCGCAGCATTTCTTTGTGAGTTCACACCGGTCCACCCTTAGGAAAATTAAACATTTATAAAACCACTACTTGCATTGGTGCACTGTATATTGCATTAAAGTGAGCTATCACAGCCATGACACAAGAGATTCAACAGTAAATGTTTTTCCACTTTTTCTTAGAAAGTTGGAAAAATGAAGCTTATTACCACAGCACAAAAGCACCTAAGTCGGTCATGGTTGCATGTGCTGATCTACAGCTTAACACTGCCCTCTATTGGGCAAAGGGAAAAGTGTGCACATGATGATTTAAGACAAAACAAACAAAAAACCAGCATATTATTTAAAAGATTTAAAAGAATAATATTGCAGCAGATGTTCATTCTCTACTCACTTCAGCTTCTCCAGTTTACAGCTGGGATCCTCCAGTACAGCAGAGAGCAGCTTCACCCCTGAGTCTCCTGG